TGTCTTGAACATATATATATATGACTTTCTATATTAACACACACAAGTGGAGAGAGGAGAGAGAGAATACAGAAGTCATCATTTAATCAAATCCCCCTTAGTAAATGTGATTTTCCACATAAGCAAAGTTTTCAGCCAACTGCAGCTTAAGTACCAAAATACATGTAGTTAAAACCACTTTAGGTGGAAATGCTTCTAAGATGAGATAATCCCTATAAAGCAAGTTGCACAGCCCTGGAACATGGTGCTCTATACGCGTGACCTGTTCTGGATGCCAGAAAATGAGTGGTGTGAGCCCTGCCTTGGGACGCAGAGCAAATGGCTACGCTGTCACTTCTCATGATGGCTCAAGGTCACTGTAAACATTGATCTCCAGTGGAGCTGTGAGCCCAGGGTTATCCTGGGTGCAGAGGGGCTATGGGATTGTTCCTGTGTGAAACAGCCCCAAAAGTGAGGTATGGCTAGCACCCTGGCTGGTACTCCACACATCTGTCCCTTGCCACTATCCAGTGTCCACTGTCCCATTCAACCCAGCTATTCCCCTTCTGGGTATCTTCCCAGAAGAATTAAAAAATCATACCACAGCGATATATGTGCAACCGTGTTTACAGCAGTGCAATTTGCCATAGCTATATCTTGGAAACAACCCAAATGCCCATCAACTGAGGAAAGGATAAAAAAGATGTGGTATTTCTATAAGATAGAGTACTGCTCAGCCATAAAGAGGATAAACTGGAGACTTTCATAGGTAAATGGATGCAATCTGGGACCATATTTCTAAGTAAAATAAATCAGATGCATATGTGTAAACATTGTATTGTTTGCTTAGTGCGAGAAGCTAAAAGAGTAAATAAGATCCAGAATGTGCAATAGGTAATTGTGAAATAGGAAGAAACTGTTCAAAAGGAAAGAGAAACTGGGATGGGGGAAAGAAGAAAAGAAGGAAGGAGAAAGTTAGAATATATATATACATATATGTATATATATTATATACAGAAGAGAGTTAAGATAGTTATACTACTAATTTCTCTTAGTTCATTGAAAAGGAAGGTTTGTGTTAATATTGTTTAGATAATTAAATGCCTGTATCTTGTACTCTAAGTAATTTAAAGATAACAATACACAATGTATTAACCATTTTTGCTTTCCTATTATCTTGTTTTCAAATTTTATTCTTTTTCTCTTTAAAATAAAAAAAAAAAAAAGTGATCCCCTCCTGACTTGGACTCAGTCTCCCACAGCAAGTCCGTCCATTGGAACCTCCAGGAGCTCTCCTGCACCCCATCGCTCCCCGACGGACGGCCCGGGCTGGTCAGGGCTGCAGGCCGTGTCCCGGCTTCTCCATTCTTCCTCTTGGGTTGAGGCCGCCCTGCGCCCCTTGTCTGGAGTGAGGGGTCTCAGCCATGCTGCAGGCTGCCCACCCGTCCTGCTCCTCCACTGTGTGGGGTGAAGCACATGGCTTCTCAGCCAGCGCCCGTGCCCATCCGAGCTTGGTGCCCACAGGAATGCACTTAGGGCGTCTGTTGCGGGGAGTGCGGTGGCACCCTGAGCGCACACCTCAATATTATCACCTCTTCGACACCGTCCCAAAGACCACACAGCCGTTCTGCAGCCACAGATTCTCCAGCTGTGGGTAGAACATGTCCAGAACACTGCATCTGCCCTGAGCACGTGCAGACAGTTCTCTCGCCGTTCTCTCGCAGCACACCAGCTGTCTGCATAGCTCCTGCAGAAGGGACACAAGCATCATGGATATGAGCATCAAAAGGGTCCTCCCGCTGTTCCCATGGATACTGCGGGACGATGGTGTGCTGACTTTCCACCTGCCCTCCGGGACCAGCTCTGGGGGCTGTGATGAGAAGATGCTGGAGGAGGAGCCAAGGGCTCCAGCCCCGTCAGCCTGGCCCCAGTGTGATCAGACGGGGACGGCACAGAGTCACACAGTGACCGCCAAGCCCCTTCCACCTCGCCTCCAACCTCTGACCCGCCAGCCGAGGCTCTGCTCAAGGGCAGCGGCCCAGAGAAATGAAAGCAGACAGTGAGAGGTGAGCACCCTTTCTCGGTTGGCCGTTTTTCCTCCAGTTCTTCCTGCAGACATCCACAAATGGAAGAGGCCACTACAAGGAATTGAACTCAGGCGTGTTTATCCTACAACCCAAGCACTTCCCGCCCTGCTCCGTAAGCGGCAGTTGACCACAGCACGTGGGCCCTCCTCAGGCAGGAAGCAGGTTTCCGGGGCGCTGTCTTCCCCAAGGCCAGGCTGTGTGAGGGCTGATGAACCAAGACTCCTTTTCAAAACCAAGAAAACGCTGGGCGCCGCCAGCTAACAATCAGACCCTATGCCCAGTGCTTTCTGTGTCTGCCCAGCGCTACGGCTTGAATGTGCCCCAGACGCTCACACGTTGGAAACTCAGTCCCCAAAACTGTATCTCATTGTTATTTGGAGGTAGGACCTTGGGGATGTAAATGAGATTAGACAAGGTGGGGAGGATGAGAGTGGCTTTATAGGACGAGGAAGAGAGACCTGAGCCGACACCCACTCCGCCTCACCGTGAGACACCCCTGCCATGTCAGCATGAAGATCCAGCCTGTAGAGCTCCCAGCCAGAGACCTGTGTTCTTTAGAAATTACCTGACCTCAGGTATGTGTTACAGCCATAGGAAAAAGACCTTCAGTGTGATTTGTTTGGTAGACAGATTAGGTATAGAAACTCTTAGAGATATAAACATAGCTTTGATCAAATGCTCACTTGTAATATTTATTAATTTAGCTACAGTATGTGTTATAAAACACATATGATAATATATAAATTTAGAAATATTTTCTCACTTTAACTCCCTTGGTTTTATATTTACTCAGCATTGAATAATGGACATAAGTATTTTTAGCATTTTATCATCAAATCAAAATCCAGTGAGTGTTTCCTTTTTAAATTAGGATGTGTAGACATTGGCGACAACTTCCTCTGATTCTTTCAGAGGACTCCCCTTTTCTCCTTCCAGTTGTGGATGCGGGGCCAGTCACCTCCGTGTCCCCTCCCCTGGCTGCAAAGGGGACAGGTAGGCCCAGCCGATGCAATCACTGTTCTCATCCTGTTGATCACACTGTGGGCCCTCTGGGTTCAGTTCTTTCCCTCAGCAAAGCGTGGTCAATTCTTTGCCTTCCTACCTGGTTCTTGACAAATGGCTGGAAGAACTTGTTGTAGTCAGGATTTACAAGGTAAACAATACAGAACACATAATTTATAGAATTATTTTACAATAGTCACCCAAAGTCATATACAAAGAGAGTACAGGAAATCTGTCCACACACTAAAGACCACAAGAATCCAGCTGAAGGCCTGAATCCCACAGCAATGTCCTGCATGAGTCCGGCTAAAGACCTAGAGCCCATAACAATGCCCCCCAGGAGTCCAACTGGGGGCCAAGAGCCCATGACAATGTCTCATGAAGGCCTGTTTTGTGGATTTGTGCTGGGAAGGCCAAAAGGTCAGTGGGGAATCTAGAAAGTCTGTGCCAGTGGGATGAAGGATCTGTGCCAGCAGGCTGAAGGGTCTGTACTGGAGCCAGGAAGCAATGCTCAAAGTAAGAACCAGAGCTCCCTGGAAGCCATCCTCAGCGACTGTGAGGTCCTGAACTCCTCCGATCATGAGAACAGCTGAGTCTATATCAGGAAAGCCAGCATGACAAGCTTCTCCAGGAGACTGAGCACTGCACCATCTTCCCTTCCAGCCAGGAAGCGATCCTCACAATAAGGATCAGAGTTCCCCCAAAGTGAACCATACTCATTCTCAGCAACAATGGGGTCCCAAGCTCCTCTGCTGATGAGAACAGCCGAGTCCACATCAGGAAAGCCAGCACAACAAGCTTCCCAGGAGAACCAGCAGCTCCCTAACAGCTCTTCTCCAGTTCTTTTCATTTTGTTGGCAGCAGTCCTCAGGTGGGTCCCCCACACCCAGCAGCATGCTGGTTCAGTTCAGCTGGGTGATGCAAGTTGACCGCCAGTTGTCAGCCCACCACAGAACTTTTCATTAAAGAACCAGATAGTAAACCCCTTAGTCTTTGAAGATCCAGGGACAAAACTAAAGGTAAGCTGTAGGTACTTAAAAGATACATTTCTCTAACATTCTACTGAAAGTGTGAAACATAAGAGCAGAACACATTTTGTAGTATAGATGTGCTAATGAGAGTAATAGAATTATTTTGTGGGGCGATATTTTGTTATTTTGTAGACAGTTCATCAAAATCAATTGCAGATGTCCATCTCCCAATGCTGATCTGTAATGAGATGTTGAGTATTTCACCCTTGAAAATGCCTTTCCACACAGATAGGTGTGAGACCCTGGCATCAATCCATGACCAGATGAGTTTACTAACACTCATTGCCGGGGGCATTTATAGAATTTCGGTGGTTCCTCTCTTTTAGGGTGACATTACTTTTCAGACTAATCACTTCCACTTGTGGAAGGCCCTGAACTGCACAGTGAAAACAGTGTTGAAATATGGACATTTCCCTCTGACTTGCGTCAAGATTGGGGAAACAGTGCTGCAATTGCATCTTAAACGTGTCTGCTACAAATTTGTGTAAGAATGACCATAAGCTGTTCCTATTTTAAGCATGACAGCAGGAGAAACGTATGAGGCAGCTTGTCATTACTAGGATGTAAACATTCGTGGTTACTGACTGGCTTTACTGTGCTTTAAGACTGCATGTGACATTTCACTTTATACCTTTAGGGGGAATCCATTAAGAAACATGACCAAGTCTACAGCAGAAGCTAATCTCTAAAGCTATTTGACATTTGATTGTGCAGTTAAGCATGGTTCCTTTTGTTCAGAAATTGAGTCTCAGCCTTGAGATAAAAAAAAAACTGCAATAAATTTTACCACTGCTAAGTCACTGAACAGATGCATGCTAGGGCAATTCAGGATACTGTAGGGAGGAGGGGAAAGTTACCCTCTGCCCTCTGAGGTTTGGTGGAATAAACCAACAAAGACAGGTTAAATAGAAGAAAAGCTACGTCACTTTATTAATATGCAAAAGAGGAAAAGATCACAGAAGTATAATCACCCACAGCTCAACATGATTCGGAAGCTTATCTACTCCATTTTCCACAGGGAAGGGGGAGAACAGGAAACATCAGGGAAACAGTGAATTTGAGGGCAGGTCAGGGGGCCTGGAACATACGACAGCTTGACAAAGCCTGTTTGGCTGACGGAACAGGCGATGATTTGTTAATAACCTCTGTGGGACTGAAGAAGAGGACAAGGATATTTGCACATGTGAGTCCAGCTGTGCGGACAGCCTTCCCTCTCATAAATGAGTTCAGTTAGTGACACTCGGGCCACTGCTTTTCCTTTGGTGGGTCCAGACATTGGGCAGATATGGGACCTCTGCAACAGCCTCTTTGCATGAGGAAGGGGAATGAGAGAAAGCCCAAGCATCCCGCACTCTGAGGAAGGGTCAAAGCCCTCTTGTCAGGTGCCACAAAGTGTCAGTCTTCAGTGCATATTTTCCGAGTTCCTCTAATATTTGGGTTCTTCTGTCAAAAATCCATGGGTTAAGTCCAGTAGATGGGATGAGTTTTTCTACTAATTTAGGTAATTCATCACAAGTAATATTTTCAAATATTATCCACCAAGAACCTACTCATGAATATATAATGAGTAACCATGGGCTTTAAACACCTTGTGCTTTCAGAAATGTATCTTGTAAATTTGTCCAACTAAGCAGTTTCCTGACCTCACACGTGTTTCTACCACCATCCGATGGCCGCATGTTTCACTTCAGGCTGTGCCACATGACTGTGTTTTCAACCACTTTGAAAACATTCTCAGCCTAGCCCTTCACCCAAATTATTGACCAGGATTGATCTCTTAGTCACTACCAGCTCCCCACCAACTCCCCAAATGTCCAATAGCTGAGCAGTGTCAGCATCACTAGTCAACTTTTCCAGGGCCAAGGAAAGTCACGTTTGCCTTGTTTTTAAGTCAACCTGATTGTATCCCCAGGACCCCAACCTGGTGGGGAACCCAGTGCCACCACAAGACTAAAAGTCTTAAGTAAGTTTGTTATCTCAAGACATGTTTATTGGTTACTGCAATAAAAAATGATCTGAGTTGCTACTGATAAATAGTTGTCCTTTCTTGGCTAACAAATTAACCATTTGCAGAGTTACTTTTCATTGATAAGGACGGTCACAAACAGCAGATGCAGTGAAAATACAGGTTATGAAGTAGCCGTAAGTGCAAGAAAAAAAGTTGCACTTATGGCTTACTCATTTTTGTTCTGAAGAAGTTCTGTGTAATGAGACATTCCACTCCAATTATTCTATTTTTCTGTGACTATCCTATGAATGGGGAACACTGCTGTGATTGTTGACTCTAATAACCCTACCCCTAACCTAGGTGGAACTTGTTTAGCACAGCCGTTGAATAATTCACACAAAGGTTTGCCACTTAATCAACAAAATCATTCATACTATTCTCTGCCTTACATGCATGAGCCTTGCAGTCCAGTTTTGTCTTATTTTGACATACTGGTGATAAAATATAAGACACAGAGGCACAATGACAGTGGTGGTTAGAGATCATGTGATTGTATTACGATGGTGTCACTGCGGTTTACAGTGTGGGCCACAGAAGTGATGAGTGTCACACACTTTGTCACAACTACTCAGCTCCACCATTGCAGTGCAAAAGCAACCATTGCACGGGAGTGGTTATAGTCTGGAAAAACCAGCTGGACACAGAAATGTGAATGTCACAGTGTTTTAACACATCGTGAAGTACTGTTCTCCTTTCGACTTAGGTTTTTAACCACTCAGGACGAAAACCCTTTGGGGGTGGTAGGCCTGACAGAGGTGGGAGGCCCACAGGCTCTATGTCGTGGACCCCAGATGGTATGAGAATCGGGCCAGCGCACAGACAGAAGCAGAGAGGTGTATCTGTCCAAGAGATGGACAAAGAAAAGCCAAGGGAGGGAGAAGGAGAGAAAAAGAGGGAGAGTGGAAGAAAGGAAGGAAGGTCAGGCAGCTCCTGAGCTCTCCCTTGAGAAGTCTGAGCCCTGGGGTCCCCTTTGCATTGTGCTCTTTTGTTAATTGTCCCTTATCCTTTTTCAAAGGCAGACTAAGTTGACTTTGTCATTTGCAACTGAAAAGGTCCAAACAGAACAACTGATTTTTACCAACTTCCAGCACCCTGAGATCAGATGAAAACTGGCTTCTAGGTGCCAGGAGCCCTTCTTCCCCTGGCAGCACCTTAACTAGTCTGAGGAGAGCCTGATCAAAGGCTCAGTGGAAGTTCAGTGCCACTTTTCTGGTGACCGACTTTCTTCTTGCACTTACAGCTACATCATAGCCTGGATTTTCCCTGCATCTGCTGCTTGTGACGGTCCTTATCAAGTGATGTGACACTTTGCAATAGACATTGTCTTCTTCTCCAGCAGAGGCTGTTTTTAGTAGGACTTCCTATGCAATTTTCTGTATCATATTTCCTTTTCTGAAAACAGAAAAGAACAGAAGAAAATGATCAAGAAAGTTCAAAAAGTTAACATACCTACAAGTAGGGGATGTTTTTAAAATCAGCCCATCATGCCGATGCTACAGCTATCATGTCTCTCCACCTGCACGACTCTCAAAGGTTTGAGAAAACACTTTTTCCCCAGTGCATTTTCTTCTTGCAAGAGTCAGCTCCTCTGAGCAAAATCTCCAATCCAGCCAACGCTAATGACAGCAATAAAGATGAATGTTTGTCAGGTGTGCTATTTCATCACGAAAGCACTCCTCACAGATGTCATCCCTCCTCCTCACCACACCCCAAAATTATATTATTCAGCCTCATTGCAGACGACAGCTGCAGGGGCTGCTGTGTCCACAGCCACATCAGCTGTGGCCTGCAAGCAGGATACAGAGTCACCTGACCCCAAATACGAAGCACCACGCCCTTTCCCTTTCACCCCGCTACATGGAGAGCAGCTGTCCTGTGAGCAGCTGTCCTTTGTAGGGGACGCAGAAGTCTTCCTCACAGGAAACATTCTTCTAGTCACTACAGAGGTCTGGAGCATATTTGCTTACACAAACACGAACATAAAACTCTCTTTTTAGGGTGAAAGAACACAGAGTGTGGGGATCCACAAAATTCCCTGACTTTGGCAGAGTATCACCCAGGAAGTCAGGTTTCATAGCCGGGACCTTTTGTATTTTAGGACAACATCCATAAGTCACAGGAATATGCCCTATGTCTTGCTTCCAAGAAAGGACTTCTAAAAAAAATAAAGGAAAGGCCTGAAGTTAAACTTTGCATGAGCTTGCCCTCAGTTCATCAACACAATCAGATGTGCTACCTTTGCATTCTGTAAAGCTTCACAAAGGCGACGGAGGCACTTAAACTGAACTTCTGGGTAATGGTTCCCACACGTGCGAGTGGGTGTTAAATGGTCTACAAGGTTCTCATTTCTTTGGAGTTCTTCATTGCTTTCACCTCAGCAAATTCCAAAGGCAATGACCATCGCTATTAGAAAAATAATTCAGAGGAGTCCTTTGGGAGATTTTGACCAACACCCTAGAAAGTCCTTGGTGGACATTTCAGTGCTAGTTCCGTATTTTTAAAATCAGCATCCAGCACAGCACAAGGGAATACGAGGGCAGAAGGTGGAACTGCCACGGCACAGCCCACCCTCGCGGAGGTGGGCACAGGGATCCTCGTCTTCATCATGGTGCAAAATACAGCACAGCACAGCACTCACGTCATATCACTCCGAAGCGTGCGGGGCAGGGCACTCCATGCAGCTGCAGTGCTGCGCGTCCATCTCCACCCCCGCCACCAGGACTCCCACCACTCCAGGCGGAAGTTCTGTCCCCGTTCAGCAGACTCTCCGTGTTTTCCTCGAGTCCCCGGCAAGCACTGTGCCACATTCTCCTGCTATGAATCGTGTCTCCAGGTTGCTCATACAAGGAGAATCATACAGCCCCTTTCCCCCGGTGACTGGCTCTATGTCACTCTATCGAATGTCCCTAAGCCATCCGTGCGGAAGCCTGGGCCAATGTTCCTTTCAGCGTTTCTATCACATTTGGTTCCTTGAGCCAACTGTGATGCCAACTTGAGTGACTTTATTTCAGTTATATTTATAAACTCAGCTATGTATATCCCCTTTGAAGCCTTGCAGTGTAAATTTCCCTCAAGGAAATGCAGCATTTATGAATAGCATTTTTTAATGTGTGAAGGGAAAGAAGCCTCATGCTTTCTCTGAGCTGCTATTTCATCAAAACAGATTGCTCCTTTTTATTCACTTATTTATTTTTGAGACACGGTCTTGTTACGTAGTATAGGCTGGCCTCAAACTTGCAGCGATCTTCCTGCCTCAGCCTCCCAAGTGCTGGCATTACAATCATGTGCCAGCACATCCGGCCTTGATTGCTCCTTCTCAAACCTGTGTAGTAAACTAGAGTTGCCAGCCTTCAAAACACACAAACCAGCCTCTACTTGCATTGATGTTTCTGTCTTGTTCTCCCTTCCCACTCCCTGCCTATTCGGCTAACACACTTCACTTTGTGCCACTGACACTGAATAGTTCTCCCCATCGTTACCTTACGATGGAGATGTCCTGCTGTCACATGATCTCTGTTTGCCCTACACTGATAACTGAAAGGCAGCTGGCAGGCTGCGCATGAAGCACCCTCGTAATCAGGGTTCGCACACACATCTAGACGAGCACTGTCCTTCACAGTGATCGCCCTCCTGACATGGCTGCAGTCGTCTTCCCATCTACTTGTTTAGCCTCACTGCCATCAGCTCCGCAGAGATTGCCTCCTCCCCTCTGGACTCAATTCGGTCGCATCCCACCTTAACCGGCTCTGTCCTTGGCCGTGGAGTTCATCACACAGTGGCTGCTGGCCTGCCCAAAAGTGTCCCAGGGACAGTGGCCATGCACTGGAAATGCAACCAGCGCAGATATGATTGCTGTGGCTCCCCAGTGTCCCTGCAGGGTAGGCATTTCCAGTCTCACCCTGACCTTCCCACTGTGTCTGTGACTCACTCCGCTCCTGCCCATGTGCACTCCGTAGGCCTCTGCGGGTGGAGCACTGACCTCAGGCACAGTTCATGCAGTGACTGACAATTCCTGCAGGACGGAAGGTGGGGAAGCCTTTTTCTGCTTCCTACCCAAATGTCGTACGGCCCAGCAGAAGCCCTGCTTCGAAGGGTCCGATGTTGGGGCTGTACTTGACCCCAGACCTTAAGGAACGTTAAGGTCTGAGAGACTGACCCAGCAGTGGCTGAGCCTTCAGCCTTGGTTAACTGCCACATTCACAGCTGCCTACCACTGTGATGTGATGAAGCCCCAGGCCAGTGTCAGAGTCCTTATTGCTGGGCTTTACCCCACATCCTGGGTTATTTTAGCCCCTAATACAAGACTGGCCTCAGACCAGGCAAGGAAAGATGTTGCCTACATGATAAGATAGGCAGACCTTTGCTCAAATTATTTCTGCCACTGGGATGTCTTAGTGCTTAAAATTCAACACAAACTTCTTGAACTGGAGAGAATTGCAGATAGAAGCACAAAAACCAAAGAGTCATTGTCCTGTGGTCTTGTCCCTCTCTGCCTCGGCTCTGCAGGCATCCCTAACGTCACAGCCCCTTCCTGCTGGCGGGGTGCGGGAGTCTTCCTGCTCCAAGCACAGCCCTCATCTGAAGTCTCTCCGCCAACTCTGAGTCCCAGTGTGGGAGTCGCTGCAGTGCAGACACCTTCAGGAAGTCTCTTTGTCTCCACCGGGGAACCTGGAAAGGAAGCCCCTCCCCAGTACCGGACCTGAGAGTCCTGCGTGATTCATCTCCCTGCCCTGGACGTCTGCAATCAGCCAGAGCTTCTGTTGTTCTATTTCTCGGGTCACCTGCCGATCTACCCCACACCCTTCGCCCTTCTGCCACGACTGCCAGCTGCCCCCTGCCAGTCCTCCTGCGCCGTGGCTGTGGCAGTGGCCACGGAGAACCCGCCTGGACACTGCAGCTAAACCTTAACTGACAGGCACTCTCCAGGGTCCACAGAAGAAAGACCAGATTCCTGATAAGACTTCAGACGAGTTTTTCCAGGTGTGAGGGCCAGAACAAGACCCTCACGCTTGCTGGGCAAGAGCTGTAGCACTGAGCTTCACAGCCAGCCTTAGGGTGATATTTTAAGGGCGGCAACCAAATTCATTTTAGGGAAGGAAGCAGGTTTGCTTAGGAGGATGCTTTCAATAGCAAGTCGAGGTGAGAACGGTAAGGGCGCTGGGAAGGGGTTGAGCAAGGACAGACACACTGGCCTGGGTAGGAGCCAACAGGGACCCCAGGGCTGCTGTGGGCCAGGAGGGGAGGGCTCTGTGTGTGTGTGTGTGTGTGTCTGTCTGTCTGTCTGTGTGAAGTGATGCTCCTATGCTTGTGAGGTCAAACTGAGCAATCTGGCAAACGGACAGCAGATGGAGGGGTCAGAAATTACAGCTAAGCAGGAAGGAGGCCAAGATAATCCCCGAGGATGGATCAGAGCTGGAGACACAGGGAGGAACTTCTCTGTTTACGAGGGAGGTGTGATTGAAATACAAAGTGAATGTTTAAATTTTAAAAACGTTTTACCATACAGAAACATTGCCATGAAATTCCCTCAAAATACTCTCCTTCCCTTCAGACATACTTATCCCATCATTCTTCCACGTTCTGAAACAGTTCTGGAAATTCTCTTTTGTGAGTGTCTTGGGGTGGCTGCCCGGACGTCCTCAATCAATTCTAAACATTTACAGCAATTGCTGTCAAATAAACACATCCCAGTGAGGCCTTATCCACCTTATTCATCAGATCTGGCACCAAGTGACTCCTGGCTCTTCCCCAAAGTCAAAATGACCATGCAAGGGAAACATTTAGAAACATTTAGAATCGATTAGAATCGAAACATTTAGAATTGAGGCAGCTATGACAGTGCAACTAAAGACATTCACGAACGAAGACTTCAAACTGCTTCAGAAAGTGCAAGAGAGATGGGATAAGTGTGTTTGAGGATTTGGAGGTGGGGGTGGTTCATGGCAATGTGTCTTTTACTGAAATACATTTTTAAAATTTAACCTTTCATGTATTTTCAATCACACCTCATATAGATATATTTGGCTATCTGTGGAAATATTTAATGTGTGTCAATAGATTGGTGCGTGTGCACATGCGCGTGCACGCACACACACACACACAGTACCAGCACACTGCACTCCAGATCCTGTTTTCTAAGAGAAGGCAGAGATCCTTGGAGATATGGCAGAGGCAGGAAATATCCAAGATACTCTTGGAGTATCTCATACTGCCAGACAGGAAGAGGGTACTACTACAAAGCAACAAGAGAGAATAGAAAAAGAAGCCCTATAAAGATAGGAGTTTGTCAAAGGGGTACAGGAGCCAATGAAAGAGCTGGAATTTTCTTTTTTTTTTGAGACAAGGTCTTCCTACGTAGTTGAGACTGGCCTCAAACTTGTGGCAATCCTCCTGCCTCAGCCTCTTGAGTGCATGTACCACCAGTCGGCTTGGGAACAATTTGAAGAACAAAATAACTCAAAGTATCAAATAAAGACCCACCAGTGCATACCAACATAAGTGATAAATAATAAAGAGAGAGAAGAGGTAAACCCCTGTGCAGAAGAATTCCCACTAATTCATATAGATTCCCCACCCTGCACGTGGGTGGCACAGGGTGCTTCTTCCCAGAAGAGGGGAGGCAGTGGCTTTACAGCAAAGCAGCCTGGTGAGGAGACCTCTGTAGACTGTGAGCCTGGCAAGAACTACAACAGCCATAAAGCATGCTGAGTGTGTGAACCCTGGCTACAAAGGGAAGAGCATCCCACCTGAATCAAAATGTTAATAATGAGGAAAAGGTGTGGGGGATGATGGGAAATCTCTACACTATTTTCTCAGGTTTTATGTAAAGCTAAAACTGTTCTTTAAAAGTGCATTTTTAAAAAAGTTCCTTAGACATGGGATATTCTGATAGAGCAAGAGACTCCATTTTTTTTAACTCCATATTAAGAGAAGTCACTTATGTTCACTTAAGCTGTAGTTGACCCCACTCTTCACCCCAGTCCCCCTGGTTAGTTATCAACCCACTTAAAGGAGAGCAGAGTCATAATATGGGAACAGAACAAACAGGACAAATTGGGAAGTAGGCTAAACGTTAAACTGTAACAGTCATCTGGAATCCAGCTGTCCGACAGCTTCTGGAAAAGGTAAACTTTGTGGTAATTATGTGACATTCTTGTAAGATTCCAAAAAAAAAAAAAAAAAAAAAAGAGGTAATGGTTACTATGGAAACAAAAAATGTGCTTAAACTGAAGGTGAGACCCAGATCAGCTTAGACATCGTCTCTGGCTCCTGCTTAGAGACTGTCTGTCAGCCAGTTCAATAAAGGTTTGTTCATTCCTGCCTTTTCAGTTTTCTTGTGAATGCCTGTCTCATTGAACTCACTTGCCATATCAGCTCAACCTGCAATTTCAAGTTAGTCATGTGGCTGTGAACGAAACCCATCTGTATCTCAGCCTCTGCTGGGATTTAGCATCCTTCCTTAGCAGGGGTCATACAGCTCCAGGGCACTCCACTGTCTCCATTTGTCCCTCTCCTGCCAACCTTGGACAGGGAGTAACGCACCCGAGAAATGGACTGCAGGGTGGTGGTGTGGTCACCTGTGATCACCAGCAGGAGGCCAGCTGGGGCCGGGGCCAGCTGGCAAGTATAGAGGCTTGGCTTCATGCCAGGCAGCTTGGGAATGGACCCAAACCAAGCCTCTCTTTCAGATTTCCTAGAGGGAAATGCCCCAGCATGGTCTACTGGAAAACTGCTGCTCCGAGTATATCAAACAGGTGACAATGAACAGGGGTTTGGCTTCAAAGATGTGTGCAGGGTTAAGGAAAGCCAGAGGAAGAAGATGGATTGTGGGGAAGCAAACGAAGTAACAAAGAAATAACCTCCACAGACTGGAAGCTGGGAAGGCCCACAGGCAGCCAGCTCTGCTCAGTGCGGGAGAGAGGGCCTGGTGACAGCCGGGAACCTTGGGATGCTGAAGTCAGAATCACCCTCCCCCCTGCAGTCACAGCAGCTGCTGGCAGCCACTCACCACAGCCACCTGGACCAGCCAGAGGTGCAGCGTGTCTCTCCTACCATCCATCTTCTGACCAGAGCCTCCTCGGGGTGCAGCCCAACGGGAAGCCGGAAGACATGCTGGTGTGCTGCTGCCCGGCTCCAGCAGAGTCCTGAACCAGATCCAGAAGCACAGTGCAGGCTGACAGACGCTGGTGAACAGCAACTCCTGACCAGGGCACGGTGGAAGCCACAGGCCTTTGGGGGACCTTCCAGGGCCTTCGCCCCTCTGGTTCTTGCTCTCTGCTGCTCTACTTAAACAAGGACCCACTGTGCCCTATGGAGCCTCCCCTCCGGGCACCACTTCCTGCTGCTCCTTGTGGGTGCCTCTGCCCGAGGCCTGTGAGTCAGACTCCTATACAGATGTTCCCTGTTTATCGACCAAATACCATTCCTGTGACTGGGTTTGTTAAACGAATGTTGATAAATGAGGAGTTGTGTATAGTACGTGCATTACAATACTCAGGACAGAGAAATGGTCAAAGGAAGCTCCAACTTGACGACTGCTTTTATTTGCATAGCTGTTACATGCAGTGCTGCAATGCGTAACAGAACATAAAACCACAGGACTGTGCCGTGCAGTACAGTCAGCAGACATTACAGCTCTGCCCTGCAGAAGAGGCCACGGTCAAGCCACACTGCCGCTCCCGTTCCTGCACTGTAAGTCTGAATGCGGGCTCTAAGTCCAAGCTGTGGGTTGTAAACCTGAACAGCAGGCTGCAGCTCTAAGTCCAAACAGGGGTTAAACAGGCAGGTTGTTAAAAGGAGGGATGAGGAATGTCCTTACTTCCTTTCTGTGCCCTACAAGGACATCTCCTTGCTGGGAAGTTCCTTCGTCATTCAGCCAGCCCTGTCCCATAGCAAGCCGCTCGTCACAGCCCACCATGAACAGGCCCACAGAGAGGTGTCCTTACTCAGGGCAAGGCTGGCCCAAGCCCAGCCCTCCTTTCCAGCTGTGACGGTAGCCTTGGCCACAAACCAAATGCTGGGAGCTTTCACTGCCCCACTGAGTGAAGTCAGCAGCAACACAAATCACAGCCACTAAGGAAAGCGCCTCCGCCCAAAATTAAAGACGGGCTTGCAGCAGCTCCAGCAATTCCCTTCCAGGTCCACACCCCTGGGAGGAAACGCAGGCTCTCATGGAGATAGCCACCTTTCCGTGCTCAAAGCGCCCTTATTCACAGTAGCCCAAAGGAGCAGGCAACTCAGCGCTCACTGACACACGAATGGATAAAAAGACCGTGATTATGTAGAGCAGGAATATTACTCAGTTTCAAAAACTCCTGCCATGGGAGGGGACAAGGGTGACCCCAGAACATACAGTCAAGAAGAAACAAGCCAGACACAGAAAGACAAAGACTTCGAGGGCTCTGCAGTCAACAACGCTGAGCTCTAGAAGCACAGAGAAGACTGCGATGGGCAGGGGCGCTGCTCCCCGGAGCGGATCCTGCAGTAAGTACCCAGCTCCGGGCCTCAGCACTGTGGTGGCTGCCTTACAGCGCTCTGTGACCCTGACAACCGTTTGCAGATTTTAAATGTTCTCATCAGAGGAAACAAGGATGTCAGGTAATGGCTATGCTCCCCAGCTGATCTGAACCATCTTATATCAGAAATAGCTTCTTCACACCATAGACATGTACCACTTTTCCTTAACCGGGGTGGTGCACACCTGTAACCCAGCAGCTGGGACGCTGAAGCAGGAGGATCACCTCGGATTTGAGGCCAGCGTGGGCTACGCAGTGAGTTCAAGGCCAGCCTGAACTACACAGCAAGACCACATATTTTAAAAAAACAAAACTAAGTTATTTTACTTTCAAAGGATTCTTTGAAGAGCAACAGCACCAACCCTGTCCCTCAGGGTGTGACAAGAACTAAGTCGGCTCCACGGGGCCGTGCCTGGCCCGGTCCCCCGCATGCTGCTGAGGTTTCCTAAGTGCTGGTTTCCCGTCCATGTGCTGAATCACTTTTTAATTAGCCCAGGCGTCAGCAGCACGGGCCTCTAACTGGTAACTGCTCAAAAGTACTGTTAACAGGTGCCTGGGAGAACGCAGCGGTGAGCACGTTCCCAGGCAGGGACGTCAGGACCATCGTGCGGCGCCGCCCAAGCCGAGGTTTCCGGAGCAGCCGGGGGCCCGCAGCCTCTCAGCTCCGCGGCTGTGCCCCTCCTGATGCTCACCGCGCGGCTTTGGCCGAGGGTGCGCAGGAAGTCAGCTCCAGGGACACCAACAGCCTTCTGGGCGGCAACAGTGGTAGCAGCCTCTTTAGAAGCAGTGCAAGCGGCATCCATGGCTCTCTGCACAGAGCAGGAGCGGGTGGCAGCCGAGCCCGGGGTAGGAAAACCCCCCAACGCGGAAGGGTGGGTCCAGGGAGTTTGGAAAAGAAAGGGCAAATATTCCACACGTTTGCCTATTTGAACTAACCTACTACGCTTGGACTCTGCCCCGGAGAGGCTCACCTAGCCAGTCCAGGGGTCAGCCATGAACCCTTCCCCGCGACCCCCGCCCTTCACCTTCTCCCTGAAAACCGCAGGTCGCAGCGCGGGAGGGGCTCGGAGCCACCTGCTGGCCCACCCGCTCTACTTCCTCCGCGCGAGGTCCACGAGAGAGAGCTTCCCGGGGCCGCCCTCCGCAGGCTGCTCAGGTGTGCTGGGTTCACTGACTGACTGCTCGCGGGGAGGTGCCCGGGGTGCGGCGGGCTGTACCGGGGTCGCAGCCCTGTGTTCTGGGGTTTGCAGGCAGGCACGCCGCCGCTCCGCGTGGGCTGGGTCCTTATTCCTCTTGGAGGTCTCCAACGAGGCCAAAGCAGGAATCCAGGTTGAAGTCAGCACCGTGGGCCAGCGCTGGCAGGATCAGAGACGGGCCTGTCGTGCGGCCTGGCACGTGCACGAGGGCTTCCCACAGCTGTGCCCGGGACCCCGAGGTGCGGCAGAACGGAGCTGATCACAAAGCCCCTGGCTCCGGGTGCGGAGCAGCCCAGCCGGAACTCGCCTGCACGCCTCGCCTCCGCGCCGCCGTAACCAGGCAGTACGCCCTGCAGTATACGCATGCGCTGTGCCGCGCCGCCACGGAAACCTAGGCGAGCGGTGGCCACTGCGCCTGCGTGGACTGGCTGGTGGGCGGGAACGTGGCGGGCGGGGTCTCGGCGGCGGGGTGGGGCCGCGCGTGCGCAGACTCCCGGTCGGGAGGAAGCGGGCGGCGGGTGAGGCGTCGGCTTCATTGTGCACGCCGCCCGCGCTCGGGCATGGTGAGTCAGGCGCTGCTGCGCCTCGGGTCCGCCGTCAGCCGCCGGAGGATGAAGCTGCTGCTGGGCCTCGCG